ATTTTTTTATTAACCAAAATATACAGCTGCAAAAACATGAAATTAAAGGTCCATGTGCAGTATGGCAAGTGATTGTAGACGGTCATATCTTTCACCATAAGATAGAAATCAATAAAAGTAAGAGACCGACTTGGGCAAGGCTACGAATGCCTATATGGTTTGTTATGTCTAAGAAACTCTTTATTGGAATCACTCCATAAAATACATTATGCATATGCTTAAGATGGAATTCTACTTTTAAGTGATATAAAAAGATGCTATATGAGTAAATAGGTGTTGCAATAGAGGTCAAATATTTGGCTGGATGGATTTCACTCAAGCTTGATATGACATAATGAATCACTTATACCATTTGTTTAGATTGCGTGTGCTCCTTCGGAACTAATTATAGCATTGATAAGTATACTTATAATGGCATACTTAAAAAGATAATAAGGTCAAAAGGGATATGATGATGTTACGTCAAGCGTGTATGCTTCATGTTAAGTCAAAACGCACTTGCTGCATTCTTAATATTCTCGGGAAAAAATAAGTAAACGCAAATATACACACTAATTTCAAATATCAAATATCATTTCTACCGAAAACAGAAATGTTTACGCATTTTGTAGCATAATGCAGTCACTGCACTTTACTTAATGACTACTATTTCAGCCTATCTGTGCTCAAACCCTTAAATGTTCCCCAAAGTATAGTTTGACAATGAATTGGTTATTGTAAACCTAGAAATTATCATTTTCTGGCCTAAGGGATATTTTTCATTTTGCAATTGATTTAATGAAATGAATTAATGGCCCCTTGGGGATGGAAGGGTTAATATGTATTTTTGCATTCACCAATAATACTTATGGAGTTGTGATTCTGAAATTGTCGAAATAGGTTTCCGAAAACGTAACGCGATACGGATGCAAATACGTTTTAGCTAACCCGTTGTGCGAAACCGCTCTAATATCTGATACTCTAATACTTAATAGTTCCAAGACTTATATGATTCGCTACATGAAATGATACGCAAACTTAACAAATGTTATTTAGTAACCAATCTAATACTAGGTTTATTTGTTCTATACATTAAAGCACTGTATATGATATATATATGATTAAAATTATATTATAAGTACGTTATTACTAAGTTCTAGTTATTAAAACTTTTAAAATATAAAAGCATTTATTCTCTTCGATTCCGTTAGGACAGAACGTACACAAGGGGTGTATAAAAGTATTCTACAGTATCTAAAATTATATGTGCCTCTTCAAGGAGATTTTAGTTTTATTTCCAACTGTTCTTATCCGAAATCCTAAAGTCAACTCCTTGAAATGTGCAATAAACCCCAATGTCTGCAACCTTTTTTAAAACACGAAGTCTCAAGGGGGGGGGGGGGGGGCATTTGGACTTTGGGGACATTTTTTAATTTAATATGCCTAATCATTATTTATCAAACAGAGCAACACTTATCGTTAGATATTTTCTAGAGTATTAGAAACAAGAAGGTAGCAATCAATGTTTTATAAATTTCTATTTTATTGGCATCAAGTGCCAACTATCATAGCTTTGCACCTTTACTCCCCGATAACCTTGTTTCTACGCCAAAAAGTGTCTTATATCTGTGAGTCAAGCTAGAAAAATAACGGGGACGCAAAAAGAAGTGCAAAAAAGTACTCTTGAAAAAATCGAGAGGCGGGGAAAGGATTGACCCCCCCTTGACATTTGGGATAATATATAAAATAAAGCTATCTACAAATATAATTATTATCATAATATAATTATAATTATGGTGTGTACCTATATGGATCTGTTTTCCCGTGGTTTATTTCCAAACGTTGCTAATGCTATACAATGGTTAGATGAATTTACATGTAGCGCTTATTTTCACTTTGTATCAATTTTATAAAAATATTGATTTCACTGCTGAGGCTACATCGCAGGCACCTTTCCATAGTGTACTTATAACACTTTCATTGGGTTCAACCGGTGCATCCAGTTTCTCTATCAACTTGCTTTCAAACTCAGCTTCCTTCTTTTTCCAATCATTTTCTCTTTTCTTTCTTTCTTCTTCCTCGATCCTTTTTTGTTCCTTTTGTTTCTTTTTGAATTCTTTTTTGAGTCGTTCGGTCTCTTCTTCCCTCCTCTTCTGTTCTTCTTCGTTTTTTCTTTTCATCTCCTCCATTTGATTTTTAATTTCTTCCTGTTGCTTAGCAATTTCCTCTTGGCGCTTTTGCTCCTCTTTTTCTTGCTCTATTTTGCGCAACCTTTCCTCTTCAGTCTTTCTTTCAAACTCCTCTTTTTGAGCTAAAAGTCGTTGTCGTTCCTCTTCGTTTAGCCTTTCGATTTCTTTCATTTGCTCATTCATCTTCTTCTGTTGCTCTTCATATTCTTCCTGGCGTCGTTGTTCTTCTTTTTCTGCAGCAACCCTACGCAATCGTTCCTCTTCGTTTTTTCTCTCTAATTCCTCTTGTTGACGCTTAAATTTCTTCCGTTCATCTTTATTCCGTCTTTCCATCTCACTCATTCGATCTATCATTTCATTCTGTTTCTCTCTATATTCCCTTTGAAGTTTTTCCGTACGTTCCTTCTCCTGTTCCATAAGTTCCCTCTCTCTTTGAAGTCGTTCCTTTTCCGCTAGATTTTTCCTGTGTAACTCTTCCTTCGCAAGCTTTTCATTTCTCTTTCTTTTATCCTCTTCCATCATTTCAGTAAGGCGATGTTTATCAATGCAATACTGTTGACCAAGACCCCATTCATGTATTTTCTTATAAAACCGAGACGCCTCGGCTTTCCGGTTTTCGCCTTTTAGTCTGTTATCGATGAAAAAGATTCGACCAGAACATGCATCGCGTAGCTCACCGAGTGCTGGCAATTCAACGGCCCCTTCCAAAAATTTTGCCTCGCATGCTTTATGGTAAGCTTCCTCATCAAAGTTATCGTCATCGTCTGTCAAATCATTTTTTATATCATCACAACGAGTAAATAAGACAACACCATAATCCTTGGCGAATTGTTTGCCAAACAGATGTTCTATTTGGGCAACGACTGCTCGGTCTTCTTTTGTAAACCGACCAAATTGAAGCACGATAAGAAATACATGTGGGCCGGGAGCGGCAAATTGTAGTGATTGTGCGACCTCTTTACAAATGATATGCTTTCCTTTGCTAGTGTCCATGAATCCGGGCGTATCGACGAATTTGTAGGAACGCGAGTCATGAAAGCAAACGTCAGACTCGCACTCTGCTGTAACCGATTTTAGGCCAGAGGAGGTTTTAAATCTTTTCTTCCCGCCCATCAGAGTGTTGGCCGTCGCACTCTTACCAACACCAGTTTTGCCAATTAGAACAATACGTATATGGTCACCTGAAAATGATTAGTATGTAACTTAAAGGCAGAATCTAATCCATAGGGGGTGACACAATTACAAGCAACATGTATAATTGACCTACCAATCTATTCCTTACAATATCAAATACAATATCTCCCAAAAGATTCACAACATGTTATAAATTGGTGAAGTTATTAATGATTCAAAGTGAAAAAATGAGTGAAAAATGTTTAAATTCTCCCAAATAATAAGAATGGTAACCATTCTTATAGAAAAATAATACATTATTGTAAAAATCTTTAGTTTTCCTGAAATAAAGTATGCACTTTTGGGATTTTTAGAAAATAGACATGACAAGGAATGACATGAGCCAAAAATATTCTAAAATTGAAACAATTTTTTGTTTAGCCTGCTCCCTATATCTGATTCTCTCTTTAACAATCACCTTTGTTGTATAATCATATTAATTCCCAAGTATTTTGATCTCCATCTGTTTATTCAGAATTGGGATTTAGGAAATTTTGACCGTTATTTCAAATTATTAAAGTGATCGAAAACCCAACCCAAAGGCCAATTCCATGCCCATTAGATCCATATTATTACTACTTCGCCGGGCTGGTTCTAGGGGTATAAGCCTTTTATTTTACTTTATTGACTTGAGCAAAAAGTAACGCCATAGTGGCGGGTCGTAGGAGCGGGCAATTAGGGAGTTTAAGCATACACTGTTTTTCATAACCTAAACGTGAACAAAAGTTATTTAAGCGATGCATTAATATGTGTGATTTGCCATACGTACAGGTTGTCGGTTCGATTTTATATACAAGCTTAAACTCCCTAATATTGATAATTTAGCCCGCCATTGCGTATGATTTTCGTTCAGTGGTAGTCCGTGGCAGCCCTGGGCATAAACGGTGGTAATAATACCAATAACTAGACAGGGGAAACAAGTTCAAATTCAGACTCCAGATGACAGATCATCAGGTTTTTTTGGACAGACAGATGGACGGACGGATGGAAGGACAGACTGGGCTGGACTTGGACTTGGACATAGACAGGACTCCGTCCTGAACTTGGACTTAGACCTGGCCTGGTCCAGACTTGGACCTGGACTGGACTTGGGCCTGGACTGGACTTGTCTTGGACTGGGACTTGACTTGGACCTGGATTTGGACGTAGACATTGGACTGGACTTGGACCTGGATTGGACTGGCTTTGGACCTTGACTGGTTTTTGACCTCGACTGGATTCAAACATGGAATTGGACATGGACTGGAATTAGACTGGCCTTTAACTGGACTTGGACCATGACTGGATTGAACCTGGGCTGGTCTTTGGCTTGACTTAGACCTGAACTGCTCTTGAATCTGGACTGGCCTTGGAATCGGAATTGACATGAACCTGAACTGGACTTTGACTGGACTCAGACCTGAACTGGACTTCGACCTGGACCTTGACTTGGACTTGGACCTGAAAATGGACTGCACTGGTATTTTTGTTTCAATTTTCTTCACTACTTTCTATAAGGCTATCATCAGAACGATTTTTTCTGATCGAAACGGATCGAAATTTGGTTTGCAGATTCGGATTCCTGAAATTCAATAATTTATTTATAACTCAAACGTTAAATTTGGAGAACTTTTTATTTTGACCTGATACTTTCTGACGGCAAAAGGCTAATACTATAAGCACACTCTTGGCTACATGTGTCCAAATTATTAAGAAAATAAGCTTTTTGAGGTCCCCTTTAAGGGCTTCCATTATGTTTAGCTGTACTTAGTCAATATCTCGTAATTTTACACTTGAAAAAAATTCTTTGGTCCCATTGAAGTAACATGGAGAACCAAATTCAGCGATTTTTGAGATTTCAAAACGTCATAACTTTTAATGAGAACATTTCTCACAAGACTAATACCCTTGACATGAAATTTGGAGAACGTTTTTCGTACCTCGTTTTCGGACACTGATATCTTGAAATCGGTTCGAGATATCAGAAAACTAAATCGAAAATGTGTTATAATACTTTTTTATAATGACACAATGAAAAAAAAACGGATTGAAAATATTGAAGGACGACTGAGAAAACCGAAAAAATGACAAAGAACTGGATTTGACCTAATTCTTGACCTTTGACTTAGATAAAAATTTGACCCCATTTCCCACCAACCAGATACTATACCTAAATTGACCATGTAATAGTTTTTGTTGAATACCTTATAGTTGTTGAAAAAAAGTGACCAGTAAAATAAGAAGAAAAAGAAAAAAGAAAGAATAAGAAAAGAGCCAAAACAAAGACTCCAGATTATCATCTGGAGTCTAATAACGTCATTTCTTAGAGGAAAATAGTGAAATATTGGACTATTAATATCAATATAAAAGTAGGCCAGACGAGGTGTAAAGTGGGTTTGTAGAAAAAACCGGATACCGGGTACCGGGTAATAAATCCTCCATGCTGGGTTCAAACTTTGTACCCGGTACCCGGTCGAAAAAACCGGGTACCCCAAAAAACGAAAAATACGAATATATAACGTGTAAACGTGTTAGATTTGTTTTGAATTTACAAAAATGTATGTAACTTCCTTCAAATTTGAGCTAGAAGCTTTAAATAAAAAGCATTTTAAGGCTATTTTCTTCCTCTATCATCATGGTCATATTCATTGGTTATGATCGCACCATCGCACCCCCTCCTGGCTACGCCTATGACATTGTAAGACATAACAATTTACACTTCAGTGGACGTTTCGTCGAAAATTGGGATACATTAAATTATGATTAATAATCAAAATCTTACACGTTGCATCATGTAAATTTCACGGGATACTAGAGTATCCGCGTATATTGAGTATGACCGGTTCTAAGCTTACGAGTGTGACCGTATTTCTGTTCCTATAAACAGACGAGGTGAGTACTTGCTTTTTATGAACACTTTCGAACGTTTTCTTTTTATCCTACTTGGTCAATGAATGATACTTGGTATACTTATAATGCCAGGCATATCACAAGGGGCCTTAATCAAGAGAAAACGTATTAATATTAGATTGAAGCCGTAAAAGCCTAGTTTCCAGCATCTTTGATCAGTTTTTGTGTAACACAACGCAACTCCGAAGAGGATGACACATCTTATGTATAATATATAGCTAGATCTACGAATTAGTCATGAATATTTTAAATAATTTAGCCTGCTCTGTCCAAATATGATACATCTTTGAATTTTTGAGAATACGAATGTCACTGGTGCCCCATTATTGGAGAATACGATTGTGAAACAATCAGTGGGCCGTGTTACACTCGTTTCCATGACATTTCACAAGCGTATCCTCTGGGAAAAGATAAATCCTTCTCTTGCTCACTCTACGGGGGATCATATAAACTGAGATTTGGAGATCTTGTTCAGGTTAGCCATAAAAAGGTTTGAAATTTGTTTTTTTCTACTGTGATATTAATGATTTGGCTCTAAGGCGAGAAATCTGTACTTTCTGATTGATATTCCATTATGAACAGTTACATTGCTAAAATAGCTCATGTTTAACATTTTTTTGTTACATTACTATTAAATACAGCATAAACTATATTCAACAAACACAATTTCAAAAAGGATAATATAGAAGTTGACCTTTATTTTCCATTTTTAAGCAGCTGTGCCTCTCATGACTTTCCAAAACAGGTCATATTCGTAGCCTAAGAACCGGTCATACTCAATATACGCGGATACTCTAGTTACCCGTGAAAGGAGCACGTAAGATATGGCAAGCCATTTTCAAAGAGCTATATCTTTAATTCTAAGAATACTTTAACCACAAAAACAAATGGTTCTGCTAGATCCATGTCTTGTCTTCAATAAATGACAGTAGGATAATAATCAAGTTGAATGGATTATCTCTTAAGCTGTTCCTAATCCAACCATCTTCACCAATTTTCCCTAATTCGGACGCAATTTTCACCAAAAATGCAGCATTTTATTTCAGCTTTTATGGCAAATTTACAATTTATTGTAAGGAATGATCTACCTCTAAAAAGGAAAACTTGATTACTTTGGGATTAGGATAATCCAAAAACAATAACTTTTTTAGGCCGAATTTTTTACCTAAAAGTAGCAATTTTTTAATGAGATCAATGCACGAAAACATTGAGCTATGTCACATGATTGATTTCCAAAAATAAAAAAATAATCTAAATGAGATAAGCATTATCTTATAATCCATTTGTCATTTTTACCTCATAGGCCATGACCTTAGTGTGAAGTGTATGAAAAGATGTCACTTAGAGCGGCATTTAGATGTACCCTATTTTATGCAATGATGTTTATAGATAGAGTTATAAATGTTCCATAGATGGCATGATATATTCTACATGGGTGAGTGCTAGATACTCTGTGTATTCATTGTTGCATAATTGCGTATTATAGAAATGAGCATAGATATGTCAACATGACTGGGTCGTGTAAAGTATGTACAGTAAAACATAAATATGTTTAACACCTAGTAAAACACATAAGAGGAAATACTTGTTTATATATTTGAATTGTATAGTGTAAATGAATATTTGAAATATTACACATTTGCGATGTTTCAACAAACATGATTCAATACCATCTTATTTGAATTAACTCTTCCCATGTGTATCTTTCTTTATCATCAACCATATTGGGGGTTTCAAAAGTGCCTTATGTAAAGGAGTTTGCTGTAAATGATCTTTCGAATAGTGTTATATGTAGTAGGTATTGAAACAGGTACCACTGTATACAGAGTACATGCAAATAATAATTTTCTCCAATGGTTTGGCCAAACATTTGTAGCATTTTTTGTTCATTTCAAATTTTATTGGATTGTTTTTGCTGATTGGAATTTTTATGGAATAAACAGTTTAATGCGTTGGGTTTTACCATTTGACAATATGTATATGGCCTTGTGTAATTATGGCCTTGTGTAATTATGATATTGTCACGTACTCGATCACTCTATATTCTCAGTCAATACTTCGGGCTTTGTATGAAAAAAACGTATACCTTGTACCCACGTGCCGGCGCACTTGGGGCATG